ATTTCCTTTCGTTATTTTATGTCTATATATCTGCTTGTCATTATTTAACAAGTTTTCCTTATCCTTATGTTACTAGTTATGGGCGATACAACTTTTTAAGAATTTACCTACACTAATTTAATAGAATGACACATTTTCTTTCCTCCTTAAATTCGACAACGCTTCACCTAGGCAAATGTTACTAGTTATGGGCGATACAACTTTTTAAGAATTTACCTACACTAATTTAATAGAATGACACATTTTCTTTCCTCCTTAAATTCGACAACGCTTCACCTAGGCAAATGAGGCAGCTATTCAAAATCAAATGCGCACTGAAATGTTGTTGATGGAGGAACAGTATTCGCAGTTGCGTCGAGAGTACGAAACAATGGAGTTAGAACTAAAGCAAGCTGTAGCACAAAATGAGCAGGCTGGTCCAATCAATGCAGAAATGAGAAGTCTGATAGCTACTCTACAAACACAGAACAAACAGTTTCGCGTTGAACTGACTCGGCTTCAGCGCAAGTTCCGCGAAGCAACTCAGGATTCAGACATGGTAATATTTTTCTCTATTTTACGCATGAATTATCCCTTGTTTTGGATTGATGCGGGAAAATAGAATTTTTAGAAGCATTTCAGTAAGTTTTTGTTGAATTGTAGTGTTTTATCGCAGACGTTTACATTACATTCACATTTTTATTTAATTTACTGTATCAATTCTAATTCCTTTTAATATGTCAATATAACTTATCTGGTCACAACTAATTTTTATTATTTTGAATAAATTGTCTCTTATAGCAGCATTTGTTATATATTCATGCTATCCATTCCAATTTATACATCACAAGTGTTCAAAATTAACCTTGGTGGTAGATGTGGGTTCAGAGTATAACAAAATTTTTTATAAAGCCACACTGCTTCGGCAAGAATACATTAGAGAATTATAACCCTTGTTACAACGCATCTTCAATGAGTAATTTTTTGCTATGGGATATGAGGATTGATATATGAGTGACAACTTTTTGGGAGACATGGCTAGTGAAATTAAATGGCATTATAAGAAATGGTCATATTAGAAAAATACCTCCACCACTCCTTAGGTGAATTTGGGTCACTATCTTCCTATAATTGTAATTATTTGTTTTCCTGTTGCTCAAATTTCTCATTGAAGATGTGCTGTCTCAAGAGTTGACTGCCTTTTAACCCGACATAGCCTCTT